AAATCCATGTCTAGAGTTTAGAAATCACCCTCAACCAAAATAAAATATAACCTAACAATCTAACACAATGAAAAAGAGGAGCTGCGGTACTCAATTCACCTCCTTCCCTCCCTTCATCTCTTCTCTCTCTCTCTCTCTCTCTCTCTCTCTCTCTCATTGGTTTTATTTTTTATTTATTTTCCTATGGCACCAGGTATGTAGGGAGGCTGTTTGCTAAAGAAAAGGGGAATATTGCCAAAGTTAAAGAAAATGGCTGGTTTCAGTCAGGATGAGGAAATTGAACTTTTTGAGGTTAGTTTGGATTTCACTCTTTAGGATTACTTGGTGATAGACTTACCGCTACACATAGCAATATTATGCAGTACTCTCTGAATATGCAGTAAGTAAAGTTTGAACCTTGTGTCATGTGTATTCCCATTGACAGGGAGATCACCTTTCATGATAGTGAGGTATTTACTGCTACTTTGGGAATCAGCATCTACAATGCATTCTGAAAACAAGGTGCCAATGCTACATTAATTTGAGTAAACTACATCAACGATTTTCGTTAGGGAGTGGCAATTGTTGAGGAGTATTTTCTTGAGGCCTTTTTTCAGATTTTTTTTGATGTATTTTCTCTTACATATATATATATATATTATATTGTTTTGAATAAGACATTAGGATTGTTAGGTATTTTTATTAGTCGGCAATTTATTGACAATCTTGTAAAAATTCAAAAAATAGGTTCAAGAAGATTTCAGATTGCAAAAGAAGATTTCGAATCAGATTTAAAGTTAAAGTTGTAGATAAGACATTGGTTGAAATTTGGAGAGATAATGATAAGGCATTAGTCAAAGAAAGATAAGGCTTAGTTATTTGAATTTAAATGAGATTCTAGAAAGAGATAAAGAGATATGGTTTTAATTTTTGCAGCTTATCCAACTCATGGGAATTGAAGTTGGCATTAATTCGGATTTGTTGTACAATCCAAATTTAAAATTGAAAAGTGTTTTTGGAGATCATATGGAAGATGGAATCAATGGAGCTACGTGCATGCAAGATAATGTGGAGATTAAGTTACTATTTTAAAAGAGTAATTCAAATTTAAAAAGTATATATATAATCCGAATATGTATTGGTTTGTTTCAATTTGGTCACCGCAAGATATCGTTCTTGAACTACGTGCACAAGTGCAAACGCCAGGTATTTGACCCTTGCAAATTTGAGAGTTTCTTGCCCTTTTTTTCCCTCCCTTAATTTATGGTAAAAAATTCCCAACGGTGTTGGTCCTTGAGTCGTCTACTAGTCTATACTTTCTGGAATAACTTCACTGTTTTATTTATTTATTTTTTGGAAGAATCACCACTTCATTAGTTCAGTAAAGTCAAAAGAATCATAGGGCCGTTTGATAACATTATCAAAATGGTTTCGTCGAGTATGAAGATGAAAATGAGAATTTTTGAGAATAGTGCTGGGATTGTTTCTACAATGGTCTTTGGTTGTTTTTCTAATATATTATTTTATGTATCAAGAAAAAGTGAAAACTGTGTTTTGGTATGTTTCTAAAAGCATGTTCTAAGTAGCCTTGGAAATAGAAACCGAAAATGTGAAAACAACTTTCAACTATTTTTCATTCTTTAACAAAATCTACTCTCACATTTTTTCTTTTTGTCGTCATTCTCGTTTTCAAAGCATTTGCTAACTAAACGCTATTTGGAAAACATTTTCTCTAAGAAAAACACTATTTGAAAAATGAAGGATCATCTTGTCTTGTCTCATCTTAAACGTAGGAGGACTGCGATCACTTGCTCCGAAACAGGGTTGAACACGGTAATTTTAGGCCTGACCGTTTCTTTGTTTGTTTATGTTCTGAAATGCATAATGATGATCTTTTTGCAACATATTTTGAATAGATTTCTAGAAGAAGTATGCCATTTACATGGTGCACTGAAAAGAAGTAGCATTTGGCTCAACGTTTTGTCAGACGACGGTCCTGGAATTACTAAGCAATATTACCAAAATATATCTGTAGAATTTACACGTTAGTATGGAAATTATGTTACAATAGATAAGCTAAAGAGAAAGACAAATTGTTACAAACTTACATGCATAATGAGCCAATCCTGTTTTCAAGTGGAGTCCTCAGAAGCGTTGTCCAGAGTGCCTATTAATAGATATAAAATATGTAACTTTCGTTGTTTTTGTGTAATAGAAACACAAGGATGTCCAAAAAATTTTATGTTTCTCTATACCTGGTTTTGAATCACATCGAAAACTTTTTAGGTGACGTTTATTTTAAGAGTTCTGTCCGGTTTAGAATCATAATTTTTGATTCTATTATAGTGTTTTTTTCTCATAAAAAATTTAAATTTCAAAAATAAAAATTATAAACTATAATTTTGAATTCATAAACCAAACGTCACCTTGGTTCGCTGTCCGTTCCAACTATTGATGAAAATTATTTTGATGACAATTCTCAGACAGTTCACAATCTCTCTAGTGCAAGTTCCTCTTCTCCACATACGACGATAACGGTAATCCCCTATACACACAGGATTTAAGTGATTTGTTGCTTCACAGCAGAGAAATTCTCATCAAAATGAAACTCAATGAAAACAAAGTCGGAGTTTGATTTATTAAAGCGGACAAAACACGCATGATAAAGTTGTTCCTTGCTATGGAGGATGAGGAGAGAGAAACTTTGGCGAATGACTTTACATAGTGAGCCGTAAAAGATTGAGACCCCATTTATTTCACTGATTCGAGTTTTGTTACAGTAAAAAATTCTCAGAAACAGTCACATTTAATTTTTTTACTACAGTAAAAAGCTCTCACATAGAGTCATATCTAAACTCGAATTAAAAACTCGAATCAGGAACTAAACGGGCCTTGAGTTATTTCTAGCGTTATTATTGCATGCTTATATGAATTAGATTTATATAATACATCAAGTATTTTTAGCTTTTTTGCAATGATCATCTTCATTGATTTTTGTGAAACACATAATCCTCTAAGTGTGTGTTCATTTACACAATTCAAATCATGACTTGGGTTGTGTATGTGAGAGAAAAATATTGTAGTAAAAAAAAATTTATGTGAGAGAAAACAATGTAACAATATAATTTGAGTCATGAAATGAACAAGGCCTAAATTTTTTCTAGCTCAACATAACCAACAATGTATTTCGATGTGTGCAACCAAACTAAGCCACTTATTTTAAGTCAAGTGCAAATCAAGTCAATTGTAGATTGATTTGGAAATTTTTAAATTGAACTCAATCAATTATGATTGACCGATTTATTATTAATTTATCAATAATTTATCATTAATAAACATATAATTTGTTAATTAAAATTAATTAATTACTAATTGATTTTAATTAATAATTAACTAATGTTGATTAATAATAAAGACTAATTGAGAGAAGAAATTTTTGAATTCAAATTTTTTGTAAGACGAAAAATATTATACTAAAATCAAAATCATAGATTCAAATATTGGAACTAAACAAGGCCTAAAATTAATCACTGATAAATCATATTAAATCAATCAATGATTAACCATTTTTACAATCAACCATTTTGTAATTTTATAGAACTTGGGTCCTTTATTAAATAAGACATTAAAAAACAGCCATTTGCTTTAAAACCCCTGATTTGATGTTGTATACGGAGCTGTCAGTGCTTTGAAAAAAAAAATTAAAAGGGACTTCGACACAAATAACTTTTTTGAATGACCTTTTTCATGAACGGTGATAATTTCGTTAAACTACAAAAAGATTCATTTTTATTAATTTATTAATCAATTACAATTGATTTTAGTGGTCTATGATTGATGAAGCGGTCAATAACTGATTAATTTAGGTAAAGTTTGTTTTAAAAATTCTGTATAATTTATGATTATGATTCTTAGTTTTGTTACAGTTTTTTTTTATTATAATATTTTTTTCTCATAAAAAATTTAAATTTTAAAAATTAAAATTAAAAATTATGATTTTACATTCATAAATCAAACGTCACATTTGGACTGATTAACTCAATTATTCTTTATTATTAATCAATATGAGTTAATAATTAATTAAAATCAATCAATAATTAATCAAATTCAATTAATAAATTATAAGTTTATTAATGATAAATTATTAATGAATTAGTCTATTATTAATTACATGTACAGCCTGTTTGGTTCATAGATTAGAACTATGAGATTAGAATCATTTTCGATTTACGTGTGTTTTTTGTGAGAGAAAATACTGTAGCGAACCATAAATCATGATTCGAATCAGAGAATGAATTATCCAAGCAAACGAGCTCTTAATGGCTACTTTAAAAAAAGTCATTTTGTACAACAAAAGAATTGAGCCATAAAATGGGGCCAAATTTATGTAAAAAATAAGGGGTTGTTCTTTTATAATAAAATTTAGAAAAGTTGAAATTAGGCTTGTTTACTTCGTTAATTTAAGTTTATAATTCGAGTTGAGATGTGATTTTATGTGAGAGTTTTTTACTGTAGCAAAAAAGTTAGATGTGACTGTTTCTGATAACTTTTTACTGTAGCAAAACTCAAATTCTAAACTCGAATCGGTGAAGTGAACGGAGCCTTAAGTTACAACTTTATTCAAGTTCACGTTCTTTTAAGTTCTAATTTTATTCAACTTTACTCAACTTTATTCAAGTTATAACTTTAACTTAAGGGCATGTTCTTTTGTCCAAAAAGCTCAAAAAAAGACAACTCAAGTTTCAACTTTATTCAAGTTCACGTTCTTTTAAGTTTCAACTTTATTTAATTTTACTCAACTTTATTCAAGTTCTAACTTCAACTCAAGTTATAATTTAAATTTAACTCAAAAATTATACTCAAGTTACACTCTAAAAGAACAACTCCTCAAATTTAACTCAAAAATTACACTCAAATCACACTCAAAAAAATACACCTTAAATAGAAAAGGTTATTTTAGTTAATTTTCCCAATAAAAAATGATGCCTTTTTGAAGATTCTTCTCCTGTAAGCTTTCAAAGGAAAAAAAAAAAGAAAAAAACCCGGGCAGACCCAAAAAGAAGTCGTCTCGCGTTCCTTTCCTTTCTATGTATTGTTGAATATTAGTTTCTTTTTTTTTTTTCCTTTAAAAACTATTTAGATTTCTTATATAATTTCCTGTTCTTCCTAGCTTCACATTGACGCTAATTCTCTCTCTTGATCGTTCAGATTGTTTTGTTCGCAGCACTTGATCACTTTCGTCATCCATGGAAGGTAAATTCTATCGTTTTTCCTCGTTCCTCTTTTCTCATTTCTAAAATCAGGAAAATGTTTCCTAATGCTGAAGCTTAAATAAGAAACAATAGAAAATAATTATAGCGTAGCTTTGAAGCATGTACTTGATCTAATAAGCTTTGGGTCCGTCTAGTTTATCGATTTGAGTTTTTAATTTGAGTTAAGATGTAATTTTATATGAGAATTTTTTACTGTATTAAAAAAATTAGATGTGATTATTTCTAAAATTTTTTTATTATAACAAAACTTAAATTTTAAACTCAAATCAATAAAATGAACGGCATCTTATTCTCTCGATATTTAGGAGAAGTCTGTGGTAGGGCTGCTTTAATCCATGGGTGATTGGAGATGTTTTGATGACGTGTACGGTTTTTATTTTGTGTTCAACTTGTGTTAGCATGTAGTGGGTTGTACAAAATCTACTCTCTCTTTTTTTTATTATTATTTTTTTTATTTTTTACGGCACATTTGTAAGCTAGAAAATCAGAAACATCAAGAAAAACCCAGAAACCCATTTATAAATGCATCACCATCACCATCACCATCACAGACTTCTCCAATAATTATGGGTAATAGCTTTTTTTTTTTATACGATAGCCCATAAGGAGTTATAATTTCTTGATGATTTGTTTAGTTTTTTCATAAACTTAATTGAGTTACATTAATTTTTTTTGTAACTTAAGTTCCATTAAATTGATCTCATACACTTAGTTCTGTGTGGCCGAAATTATCAGAATTCTCTTATCTTGAGAAATTTGGTGAGATGGTTGTTTTTTTGTTACCTCTTTGAAATAATTCTCATTAAAATGGTTGATGAGCTGGTCAATGAGTAATTAACCACTAAGTCAATCTGTAATTGACAATTAGGTCAATCTACAATTTTGACTCCCTTTAGGAAAACTGTCATTTTTCTAATTTAACAGAACTTGAGAAATTTATGATAACGATGCTTTAAGAAAGTACCATTTTCTCACATATTCCTATTTTATATTGTTGGGCGTAACATCTGTAAAAAGTTTAAGAGACAAATTCTAATTTGCTTGTGTTTCTTTAAAATAATAGAGGATTATAATTTTTTTTTTTAAAAGTACATACTCTTTTTTTTAACAAAAAAAAAGACATGATAAATATTATTTTTTAAAAAACTTTAAATATGAGATAATTGAAAATTATGTAGTATTATTAATTTATTTTGTTTCTCGTGGTGGCAATGGAAGGTAATCACGCCTTTCTTCTAAAGTTATCTACCTTTCCTCGCTCTATTTGAAAAGCTTCAGTGTTGGTCATAAATCTATTATGCTATTTGGTTTCCAAGAAAAGGAGGGTGAAAAAACAGAGTACATATTAATGCCACGGTTACTTGTTAAATATATGCATTAAGTCAACCTTTATTTTTGTGATTTTCTTACTCAACATCTTCAGAGGATGCGTACCATTTCATTTTTAACTTCTATAAGATACGATGATTAAACGTTTTCACAAGCAACGTCTCAACCTTCAAAACCAGTGAGTAGAGATGTTATGACATTCTGTTTAGGAAAAGTTGTCATATTTTACATCACCACTAGTTTATTTAACCATTGGTGGTGGGGCATAGCAGTGAGGAATGAACGATCCGTATTTTTTCCTGCTATTCGTTACAGGTTTAATTTTTTACTTCTGCATTTAGTCTTCTGAAATAGCGAGGTTGTGTGTTTGACATGCATGCAGTTTTGGAGGTTATCGATAAGGGCTTCTTTTTTGTTCTACTATATATCCAAAGTCGTGTTGTGTGGGGGCGTGAGGACACCACGGGTTTCCTTTTATTTAGCAGGGAAAAAAACCACTTTTTTTTTTTTTTTCTATCCCTATTTTACTATTGTTGTTATTGCTATGTATGAAATTTGTTTTGGTGATAACTCAACCACAAGTCAGTTTAAGTACCCGGGATCTTATTCCAGGCTATATACAATCTCGATACTGCTTTGATATACGTTTGTTATGTATTATAATAACCAATACTTCTTAAATTAGTCTATCAGGAGAAACATATACTAATAACCTTTAAATTTTAGCCGCAGAGTTAATTCTCATTAATCTTACACATTCAATGTTCATTTTCTTGTTTCTGCAAGCAAACGCCTGTAGTTATTATGAGTTTGGAATCGATATATAATATTCCATTTACAATAAACTTCAGTCAGTCACGTTGACTAGGTGAGAAAAGTGCATAGATATCAAACTTTAGTATGCTACATATATTGCTTGGAACTTTTAAACTCAACTAGGACAAATTACTGAGTAGGTGCTGGTGCTTAGATATTTTTTGTTCCCCAAGGGTTTTAATTCTTAAAAGTTGAGAATGCAAGTTGTAGGTTACATACTTTTCTTGATTTTCTCTTCCCTTTTTTTTTTTTGTATTTTTTTTCTTGATATTCAATCCAAAATATCAGAGTTTTGACTTCTTGGTTTGCTTTAGTAGCTCAAGCAGAAAGAGCAACGACTTCTGAGCCAGTGGATGGTTCTTCGTCCAGGGAATTCTCATGGACGATTGCTAACTTTTCGCAGCTTACCAAGAAGAAGCTTTATTCTGATATTTTCTGTCAAGGAGGCAATAAATGGTAGCGAGGTCTTTCCTGTTCAAGCTCATAATGTCCGTCTACTTCTTTTGGTAACTACTGCAATCAGATTTGAACCGAAATGTGCAGGAGGATTCTAATATTCCCTCAAGGGAATGAAACGTATTCTTTGTCAGTCTATCTAGATGTTGCTGATTCGGCTACTTTGCCTAATGGCTGGAGTAGGTATGCCCACCTCAGGATATCTGTCATCAATCAAGTTCACCGTAAATACACGATTTCAAGAGGTATTTACTATTCTTTAACGATGTTGTTCCCATAAATGAAGCAACCACTATTTAGTAGCAGAATAATAATCGGGTAGAGATTATATCGTGCTGGCTGGTCATAATTCTTTTCGTTTTGCATTCTGCAGTTACGCAACATAAGTTCAATGCACGTGAGAGTGATTGGGGTTTCACTAGCTTGATGCCCTTATGTGAATTTTATGACACTGCTAGAGGTTATCTGGTCAACGACACGTGCATAATTGAAGCGGAGGTTGATCAACTATGTCTTTACAAACATTTATGCATTCCTTACTTTATAAAGGACTTGCAGTTTCACATTTTGTTGTCAAGAAAGCAATATTATGCTATTTGAATTTTACATTGCAGGTAGGATTCAATGAATTACTTGATAAAAAGGACAGCCATAAAATCATAAAGGTAGTACTAATCTAACTAGTATTCTTGGGATTCTTTTTTAATAGATATATATTTATTTTAATATATGTGGTATCGTGGCTGTTTGTTCATGACATGCATTGAAAATAATAATAGCTAATGTCATTCGAAATCACGTTCTTGTGCTGGATTATCTCGCCAAATACGACTCGTGGTGGTTGGTTTAGTTTTCTTGTCACTTACTGGTTCTCTAGATTAGTCTGGATTTTTGTTGTTTTGTCCACCATGAGAGTAAGTGAATAATGGGAATGCTGGCCAAACAAAGTGAAAATTGGTAAGAATTATGGAATTTGGACTTCTTAGACATGTTCTTGGATGCCATTGTTCTTTTTTTTTTTTTTTTAAGTTTATTTTCTGCTCACCATGTTTTCTTCAGAATCTGCTGAATACAGGCTGATTATATGTAATTATGGCACACCATGTTTTCATAAGTTATACTTATGGACTACCATTTACTTCATATTTATCTCTTGGTCTTCTAGGTTGCTCGTAACGAGGATTTTGTTTATCAAATAGGAAGGGACATATATTTTGATCTTGTGGATCATGGAAAAGTTCGAAGTTTTTGTATAAATAAAAAGACGCCTTTCTCCCAGTTTAAGGTACTGTTATTTGCTTTGTGTATGAACATCTTTCACTTATGTTTTGTTGAATGTTAGTTGAATGTTAGTAAACTTGAAGTGCTTCTAAACTGAAGTGCCTCTAGATATATCATTGTACCATGCAAAAAATTATAACACCTCAGACCTCAGTTTGAACAAACTTCTATTTCTTCACACACTTTTAATGAATGGAAATTTGTAGTACCTTTAAGTTCCATAGGGGATTTTCATGTCTATACAATAAAAGACAGTTTCATGAAAGCAATGTATGATCAAGTTTCCTTCTGTAGGTGCTTTGATGAAAAGATCTTTTTGTACTTCAAGCAAGAGAGCTTTCTTTGGACGGACAGATATTTTTGTTCTCACATTTATTCTTTATCATCTTTTAGTCTTTCCATACTCTTGTGTCTCCACCCACGGGGTGTTTGTTGGAATGGTCAGGCCTTTGGGCTGCTCCCTCAAGGTTTACCACTTCATGGGCACCTACATGACCAAAGGTCATAGTTTCCTGCCTTCCAAAGATTGTAGAGTATTTCGGAGGGCTCTATATATTACTCTTGTGGTCTCCTTAATCTAGTCTTATATACTAGATATAATCTTTTCTATTGTTTTTTTTTTTCTTTTTTCTGGTAACATTTTTTTTTTTAATAGTGATGCCTTGTCTTCTTAAAGGTTGGCCTTTGGTCTGAATGTCTTATGAGGATGTCTGTGTCATATTCAATATGTGTCCTTAGGTATGCTTCTTTTACCTGAAAATTGAAAGAATGTTATATATCCATAGATGTCACTCACAAGTACATCCGTGCACCACGGATCATTTTTCTTCTAAAATCTGTTGGATACTGGTGAAGAGAGCTTTTGTTGCATCTGCTTCATCACATTTTACCTTCCACCTTTTTCTTTTTTTTTGTCTAATTTTATGCAGTTGTTTTTGATGCTTGACTTTGCAGTTTAAGTGGTGCTACCTGCAAAGATACATTTTTTTCCCAGGTTTAAAATTTTTCATGTTTTGGAATGAGAACCGAATAAAGTTCAAACAAAATCTATTTACCAAGTGTTTTGTGTATTGGTCATTCAGTGCTAGGATCAATCTATTCACAAAATCTAGTTGCACTTACTCTTGATTGACTCCCTTTCTAGCTCTACAAAATTGCCCCTTTTTTCCAGAGATATATATATATATATATCTATGTACGCATACATACATTTCAATAATTGCACGGAATGCATTCACACACGCATTTGCAATTTGCATGCATTACACACTCAATCTGACATGCTTTATGCACTTATTCAAATTGCAATTGAACTTTGAGTCACCTGTTTGGTACGTTTATTGAGGCTTAGTATTTTCTTGAATGTATTACATTGCTATTATTCTAATCTTCACCTTTCCTTCAGGAAGAGGTTGCCAAAGAGTTGGGCATACCAGTGCAATTTCAACGGTTCTGGTTGTGGGCCAAGCGCCAAAACCATACATATAGGCCAAATCGACCACTGACACCTTTGGAGGAAACACAATCTGTAAGTCTTTATGCGTTTCATTTCTTCATATGTTGCATTCTAGTTTGTCTATGAGTTCTGATGCATCTTTTCTCAGGCATCAGTTCATTCTAGTATGTATCGTAACTGTTTGAGAAGTCGCAACTGCTGTATTTGTGACAAGAATCTGATTATTGTAGGTTGGGCAATTACGAGAAGTTTCCAACAAGGCAAATAATGCAGAGCTGAAGCTGTTTCTAGAAGTAGAACTTGGTCCGGTAATACTTTCAACCATACGTAGTTTTTACCTTCTGATTCTTCAAGCCAGACATGTGTTGAACACTTGAACTTTTTCAACTTTTTTACTGGCGTGCCCATTGTACACTTGCTGACCTTCACAATTATTCAGGATATGCGACCTGTTGCTACTCCAAAAAAGACTAAAAAGGAGATTCTTCTGTTCTTTAAACTTTATGACCCAGAGAAAGAGGAACTGAGGTACTCTCTCAGTGTCGCCTCTGGTAGGCATGATTAATTTATTTAGATTTAAATTAGTTTGTATTTAGCTTATCCCTAGTATTTAGAGATTAGATTACTGATTATCTTTTAATTTAAAGTTTGAATTATTTTAAATTATTAGTTATTAGAAGATAAGTCCTTAGTTTAAATTATTTGAATTAGATTTGCATTCTCTTTGCTCATGTATAAATTTTGCATTCTCATCCATAGAAAAGTTGCACCAATGTGTTTCAAAGTCTAAATCCTTTATGGTATCAGAGCTTCATACTTTAACAAGTCCCTGATTCTCTTAGAATTATCCCAATCAATGTGCCTCTCAACCCTTGGCCGAGAGCCTCAAAACCTAGGCAGCGTGCCTCATTCTTCTCAGGCTGTGTACCTCCAATCCCCAGGCAAGGCACTTCCAATTCCCATGCAATGTGCCTCCAGCAGTTCCTCTGCACCCGTCTCCATGCTTCTTCGCTCCTGCACCGTCTCCTCTCTCCCTTGCCTCCGTCTCCCTCTCGACGAATTTTGTCCATGCGCCCCTATGCTTTCGCTTACCTCAAGACAATTGCTGTCCATGCGCCCCAGCGACCTACTCTGTTGACAATTGCCGTCTCTATGGCCATTCGCTCTCCCCTCTCCTCTTCTCGATGTTTGTCGCTGTTGTGGCCACCCTACGCCCCGTCACTCATGCCAGTTTCTTCTATTGAGGGTTAAGATTGGATTCTCCTATCGGAGCTCCATCTTGTGGGGGCATGATAAGGATGATCAATTTATTTTGAATTTAAATTATTTTGTATTTGGCTTATCCCTAGTATTTAGAGATTAGATTAGTGATTATCTTTTAGTTTAAAGTTTGAGTTTTTTTTTTTTTTTTTTTTTTTTTTTATATTATTAGTTATTAGAAGATAAGTCCTTAGTTTAAGTTTTGAATTAGATTCAGATTCTCTTTACTCATGTATAAATATTGCATTGTCATCAATAGAAAAGTTGTACCATCGTGCTTCAAAGTCTAAATCCTTTTGCCTCCCCTCCCTAAAATTTGAGTTGCATGCGTACTCATTATTTCTTTCATGCATCAGGTATGTTGGGAGGCTGTTTGTAAGGGAAACTGGAATGCCTGCTGAGATATTGACAAAGTTAAATGAAATGGCTGGCTTTAGTGTTGATGAAGAAATTGAACTTTTTGAGGTTATTTTCCGGCTCTTCTTTGTTACTTTTCGTTTTTGTGTGCATGCACATGTGTGTCTGTGTTTCAATATATATAAGTACTGAATTCTTCATTTATCACCTGCTTATATTGCATATACTCTTGGTTATTCAGGAAATAAAGTTTGAACCTCACATCTTGTGTGAACACATTGACAAGAAGGCCACTTTTCGTGCTTGTCAGGTAGATGTCATCGATGATTAGTTATGGGGAAGTATATTCTTATTTATTTAGGTTTTTGGTGTTCTTACTATATAATGCCTCTATTTTCCAGCTTGAAGATGGGGACATCATTTGCTTTCAGAAATCTCCTCAAGTAGGAATTAGTGAACAGTGCCGCTATCCAGATGTTCCCTCATTCTTAGAGTATGTCCATAATCGCCAGGTATGTGATGTTTTCTGTTAATTGAAGATTGGTATCGATGTTTCTTCAGAGTGTGAGTGTGTATCTGCAAGTTTTTTTCAAATTTTTTTTTTTTTTTTTTTTTTTTTTTTTTTTTTTTTTTCCTCCTTTGTCCAACTGTGTTGTCAATTTATTTGTAATTCAGCACTATCACAGATAATAGTTGATCTTCAGTTCTTTTGTAAGATTTTCATACCTGTAACAGTTTGAAGTTTCAGAAAATCTATAAGATAAACACTCCTTGGCATATTGGTTTAACTACTCCCCCTTCACTTCTAATAATAAAGAATGTATGGGTTTATGGATTGTCACATTTTCTTCTTCATTTGTTATGGTACTTGTTCAAAAATTTATCGCACGCAGTCACACACATGAATTTGAGGTGGATAATACTTCCGTTTATGAACTGGGGAAGAAAGGAAATGCTGGCATCTTGAGCTTTTGTTGATTAATTACAAGTATTTAATCATATTATCATGCTTCTCTCTTTTTTATTCAATTATATGTTGGTTAGGTTGTTCGCTTTCATCATCTGGAGAAACCGGAGGAGGATGAGTTCCGTCTCGAGTTGTAAGTTCCTCATGAGCAGCATTCTAGAGTAATCTTTTGTGGGTGATTAATTTTGATTGTCTCAGATAGCAAATTCCCTGGTATACTTTCTTCTGTTTAGGTCAAAGCTTGACACCTATGATGATGTTGTTGAGGGAGTTGCTCAACATCTTGGGTTGGATGATCCTTCAAAAATCAGGCTCACATCTCACAACTGTGACTCCCAGCAACCTAAACCTGAACCGATCGAGTTTCGAGGAGTAGAACATTTGTCTGACATGCTGGTGCACTACAATCAGGCCTTTGTTTCTCACTATTGATATCTTCTCTTTTCTTTGTTTTTTTGTCTGTTCATCTGTTTCCTGATTTCGTGCAAAATGTTTTCTTTATTTGTTCAGACTTCTGATATTCTCTATTATGAAATATTGGATATCCCTCTTCCAGAACTGCAAGGCCTTAAGAGTTTGAAAGTTTATTTCCATCATGCTACCAAGGATGAAGTGAGTTCTAATTACATTACATCTTATTAAATTTACAATGGAAGTGTTGCCAGTTTTGATATTTTCAGGTTAGCATAGATCTTCATTTTTCTGTTCTCAGGCCACGATTCATATCGTTCAATTGCCAAAGCAGAGTACTATAGGTGACCTGATCAATGACCTTAAAAAGAAGGTAAAGTCTCTTTGTGACTTTTGCGCTTCCAAACTGAAATCTTTTCAAAGTTCTAGGGTCTTTCTGAAACTCATGAGAAATCATTCCCAAATTGTGATGAGGATTTCTTTTATAGAAAGAAAAGTGTCCACTGGGTCAAACAATGTGTTGTTGGGTTGCGTGGGGCTTGGGTTTGGGAGGGTGCGTATCGCAAAAAGAGTTTAAAAGTTTGGTTACAAATAAGAAATTGAGAGATTTTCATTGTTACTCTCCTTTTCCCTTGTTTATATTGGTTGTTGTCTTTTCCATAAATTTCTAGTTATATCTCAATTAAGAAAAATAATGCTGTTTTCCTTCTTACTGGAAACAGGTGAGGTTGTCTCATCCTAATGCAGAAATCAGATTGATTGAGGTTTTCTACCACAAGATATACAAGGTATTGGATAAATTTTCATTGAAGTTTTCCTATCAATAAGATTACTCGCAAAGATGGATTTCTTCTCTATGATCCCTAGATACCCTAGGACTTTTTTGTTGGATTTCCTTTCTTTTATCTTTTGCGGTAAATGCATATTAAATCAGCTTGTTTTCTATACAATTAAGATTCTTTGAGTACTCCAAATCTGTGGAGTATCCTGTACAATGATCCAAGCTCATTTGTAGTTGGATGCTGATCCTCCCGGCACTTTCTGAAGATTTATTTAAATGCAACCTGTTAGTTTGAATTCTATAAAATTCTAAATATTCTTCTATTGTTTGCCCACAGATTTTTCCGCTCTATGAAAAAATCGAGAATATTAACGACCAGTACTGGATATTGCGCGCAGAAGAGGTAACACTTAGCTGGTTTGGTTAATAATGAGACCATGTGTTGTTCTAAGTGTCTTTTCTTGCATAGATTTGCCCCTTTAAACTATGAAAGATTCATGATCCAGATGTTTGTTTCTAAGTTACTAATTTGATTGCTAAACAAGAACTTCTGCATAGTTTTCATTTGATTATTGCAATTTTCATTTCCTATCCAAAAAAAAAAAGAACTTATTTTTTGTTATATTAAAAAAAATTTTTGATTGCTAAACATGATTTGTTTTCCCATGCTTGGACTGATGTCTCCGTCTTTTCTCATTCCCTTTAAATATTCTCCAGATCCCTGAAGAGGAGAAAAACTTAGGTCCTCGTGATCGGTTGATTCATGTTTATCATTTTATGAAGGACATAGCTCAGAACCAAGTAAAGGTACATCTTCTTTCACCTATCTTCTTTTGCAGTGAATAATCAGATATAAGGGTATTCTTGTATGTAATTTATTGTTTATCCTTTTCAACTTTTGCATTTAGCAGCAAATTCAAAATTTTGGAGAGCCATTTCTTTTGGTAATTCGTGAAGATGAAACTTTAGCTGAAGTAAAAGTTAGAATACAGAAAAAGCTGCGAGTCCCTGATGATGAGTTTGCAAAGGTATTGTCTTTGTATCTTTATAACTTTGTGTTCATGTTTTTGAACGTTATTATGATACAATATTATCAATAAAAACATACGCTATGTCCCTTTCTTATTCTAACCTTAGCTCATCTGTTTGGTATTTCTTTTTTCCCAGTGGAAGTTTGCATTTTTGTCACTTGGTCATCCTGAATACCTCCAGGACGATGATATTGTGGTCAGTCGATTTCAGGTGCCAAATTTTCTCTTTCTTAAGAATCTTCCTAAAAAGGCAATGGACATCTTGTCGGTTATTAAGTTCACTTTTATGTAACTTTTCAGAGGGAGGTTGTCTACGGCGATTGGGAACAGTATCTTGGACTAGAACACACTGACAATGCTCCTAAAAGGTCATACACGGTCAATCAGGTATGTAATTGATATTAGGCAGATGGTGCATTGAACATGGCTTAAGGTGTTGGTATAGTCTTCTTTGTTACTGATAGAGTAGCATAAACTACTCTGTCGTTCACACTAATCGTGTCGTGCCATAATCGTGCCAGCCCGACACGCGAACACGAATTACCAGCCCTAAGTTTATGACTGCTGATCAGTAAAGGTAGCAAAGATAATAGTTGTGGCGTCTTCTGATAAGCCTCCCGTGCGTTACACTTATGCTCGAAGGAAGCGCAATGGCTTACTTGATGAAAGGAAGGAGGAGGGGGCTGAGTCAGCAAGTAGTTAGGTAGTTAGTTAGACTTTGTGGGATGTGGGATAGTGTGTATAAATAAGACAGGGGTAGAGTAAGGAGATTCATTCCAGTTTGTTAGACTTTCGCAAGAAGTTGTTAGGAGAGCATGGGATCTCTCAAACACCCCCATACCGTTTCTGTACTCAATTCTTTCCGCCATTGTTGATACTCAATTTCCAGTAATACAATTCTCTTTCGTTTAGCCTTTTCTTTTGTCAATTTTCTTTGGAGTTTATCATCTTCTTGTGCTTGGAGTTTTGTACAAGGATGCTTTATATGCAGAGGAGTGAGGTCTTAAACTAGGAACCTTAATTATCTCTCCTAAGGAGTTAAATTAGTACCAAACAGGTGGGCCTGGTGTTGTAGTCCTAGCAGTACTCTTGCTTTCTTAAAAAAAGTTCTCTCAAGGTGAAGTTTAGCTTGTTAAGTGGTGGAGCGTAATTATTTCCCTGACAATCATTGCCTTATGCAGAGGAATTCTTGTTTTGAGGGTTCGAAAGGGGGAGGCCGAAACCTAAATTTCATTAGCAGTAGTTTGGATATTCACACTAGTAAATTTGGTTGCCCCAGTTTAGAGAAAACACACAGTTGAGAGGTGTTGATTTTTCTCTTGTAAACTTCATCACAGCAGATAACTGCAGCGGCTAAAAGAGGAGGTTGTCTCACATCGAGGCTAACCTCTATAAATTTTACGTGTTTGTTTTTGTTTGATTCATTTATGCAAGTTTATTGTTCTTTGGTAATATAGAATTAGGTGTCTAATTCTTAAGTAGCTTTCCTTTGGTTCTATTTTCTTCTGGTTGACCGAGCCCTTAATTCATTTCTTACTTTGTTTTAGGACACAACCTTGGTAGATGCAGCAAGAGGTTCCTGTTCTTTTGCTGAATTTGATGCATTGTTTGCTGACGTTCAAAATCTATTGCACCGAAAGACTTCTGCGGCACTAGAGACTCCAAGCTCAAGCAGCGTGCGTGCATCTCCACGTAGCATTGAGGAGATTGCCCATGCAAAGAAAATCTTCAAACAGTGCCTCGATATGAAGCTCGCCAGCGTCATCCAGTTGGGGAAAACATTCGAGCTCAAGAATTCACTTTCTACGATACTAGCTGGCAATGCATTCCCCTATAACATGGAAGATAAGACTAAAAATTTTCTAGCCGACTTCGACCGTTACTGCAAGCAATACATGGCTGCAGAGCAAGATATGAGGGAGGCTCAACAGAAGGAAAAATCGATCGATGAGCTGAGGACTACCATGGAGAAATTATCTTTGGACTTCACTCCTATAAGGAATGAAGCCGAGGCTGTTGATAGAGAAATAACTGAGCTAGAGAGAGAGTTGTCTGAAAGGAAGGCAAAGAAGGCAAAGCTTAGGAAGAATCTCGAGGATTTGGCGGGTCAAGCAACTTCTTCAAAACAGGCATTGGAATGTGCTGAAGAGGACATGAGGCAGTTGAAGCTCAAGAGGGAACAAGCTGAAAAGATGGTTGGCAACATGGAAAGGTCTTGGAAGTCTTTCAAGGTTGGTTGTTCCCCATTGCTTTAGTGGATCCCATGCGCGGATTTCCTTCTTTTTCGGAATCGACACTGAGCCAATACAATCTCTGCTTGCCGAAGATTTCCCATTTTGGAAAACA